TGACATTCCCAGTGTCTTTGCCTTTGCTTACACTTGTGGATCAAGATGTAAACAGTCAGCTCTGAATCTAGTGCCATTGCTGCCTGAGTGCTGCCAAGCTCCCTGCAAAGATGGCCATGGACCTTAACCCTCTATAAACTCGAAGCCTCAATTAGATGCCTTGATCAGCATGTCTTATCCTAGGAACAGAAAAGGAACTAAGATACCCTTAGGCTACGTTTGACTGTTACACTGCCCTCCTTACCCATGTCAAGCACATTAGCTATTCCACACTGCTTATTCTGAGCTTTTCCTTCAACCCAGTAATTGCATTTTGTTTTCGGGCTTTTTTGAGAACATGTCTCCTGGCTCTGGAGCCTTTGCTCAGATTTCATATTAATGAGACCCCCACTAGCCATCCTAGGTCATGTTGCCTTCCATAGTTCCTAGACACCTTCAGCTTTCTATGCCTTTTTTCTTTCTTTCTTTCTTTTTTTTTTCAAGACAGGGTTTCTCTGTGTAGCTTTGTGCCTTTCCTGGAACTCGCTTTGCTTTGTAGACCAGGCTGGCCTTCAACTCACAGAGATCCACCTGTGTCTGCCTCCTGAGTGCTGGGATAAAAGGCGTGCGCCATCACCACCTGGCCCTTTTCTTTTTCTTAGTACATTGTATTTACAATATGCCACCTCCTTATTCTACAATTATGTCCATTATTTATTTTCTGCCCACTGTAGGTGGGATAGAAGATATTCCTCACCAGGGAGCAGAGACAGTTTCCCAGTGGCATGTGCTAAGGTTACACATGGAATTCTGATGCCAGAAGAGCCTGTATGTGAATTTTAGGGTACTTAGCACTTTGTGGTGTGGGTGGCAGGGGGGTCATTTGTTTTATACCTTTTTGTTTCATTAGTTTTGTTTTTATTGGTAGTGGTGATAGGGGTACACATGAGTGTGTGTGTGTGTGTGTGTGTGTGTGTGTGTGTGTGTCTGTCTGTCTGTCTGTCTGTCTGTCTATCTGAAAATTGTTAGGTAGATGTGTATCAGACACAAACAGCATATCACTTTACTTCAGATTCCTTGAGCCATAGAAGAGGGGACTATTTTGAAGTAGATAGGCAAGTTTGGTTTAAAAATATATTTAATTGGTTTTAATAATTGTAATCAATAAGACGGTTGTGAAATCTGGCCAAAATATGATTAGGATAAATACTTGGCAGTGGTAAGAGAAAGTGTATTTGGAGAAAAATGAGGCAGACTGTTGTTTGTGCCTCCACTAGAGCTGATGGGCAAGTTTCAAATGTGGATTCCCATTGTGGGTATACTTCACCTGGAGACAAGGCAGGAGTCATGTCAAGTACTGACGAGGAAAAAAAAATGAATGAAAACAGAGACAAACTGAAAAAATGCATAGACTTATAATGAGAAAGACAAGAAAAAATAAAAACTATGGGAGAAAAGAGATGAGTGCCTGAACACCTAGGAAAGGGACCTGTGTGTGAATTTGCAGCATGTATTCTAATGTTTCTGAAATGAAGAACATTAAGCTTTCAGTATGGGGCTGGTGTAGGACACTAGCTATAGCCTAGAGCTAGAGGATGCAAGACATGTCTCGCTTTTATCCAACAGCTCTTTTTAGATACTTAAGGATTACATATGTTAAAACATTAATACTATGGTGGCATCTAAATTATTATGGCATCTTTGATAAAATTGTGGTTCACAAGTATGTAATACAACATAGACATAAGATGGTCATGAGAGACAGCTGTCTTTTTCCACAGCAGGGGCTAGAGAGGAATTAGTAACTAGAACAGGAAGAGGGTAAGAGACCATGGTTCACTACATAGATACTTATATCCCTAAACTGAACACCATATAAATGTATCGTGCTTTCTCTAATGTCTAATATTAACATTTGCTTAATGTTGGATTTTCTAACTAGAAGCTCTTTGGGGATGTTGATGTCATGTTCATGAGTGGTCCCATCTGAAGAAGTCAGACAAATTAAGATGAGTACCTGCTGGTTATGGTTATGGTTATTCCCCTGTAGTGCCTACTGGGAACCCTGTTACTCTCCTCATGCTCCTTCTAGATTGGTCACTGTACTGACATTTGATTTATTAAGGCTTTTGAAGCGTCCCTCTGTTACATCACAGATTCCCCCCAGACCAGTCCTTTACCCCCAAATACCAAAATCTCTTCTCCAGACTATTAAGATGCAAGAGAACCCAGAGCAAAACTGGAATAAGTTTGGTGCAGTAAGATAATAAGTTCAGTTAAGGATATCATAGAAACAGACCATACACCAGTAATAAATAAAAGGCAATGTTAACCGATGTAGAGGCAAACCCCCAGTGGTAAGGCCTATTTCTATAAGGCTATTTCTCACAAATGTTAGCATGGAGGTTGCTCAACAGAAACAGACCAGAACAAGAATCCAGCAACAGACAAATATGCCTATTTTACATGATTTCTGAACAGACCAAAATCTTATAAGGACCAAGAATGAGAGCTTAATTTTATTTGAGGAACATTAAGGGACTTTGTATGAATCAAAGAGCATGGGCTAACTCGACCTCTGGTAACAAATATCAACGACCCGTGAGTGCCAAGGAGTCTTATCCTCAGTCACTTCTATCTTAAAAATTTAAATGATGTTTGAGAACTCTATGAATCCTATAAATGAAAGCTCCACTCATACCCAAAGTTTTCTCATTACCTAAAGATGTCAAGAGTTTCTAAGCTGCATAACAGTTATTTAAATTTTATATTTAACAGTATTAAATCCATTTCTTCAGTTAAGGTAAGTTTTTTTTTTTAACTATTTGCACAGTAGAAAATGCCATTTAAAATGTCAATGAAAGAAAAATCACAAAAAAAAGATCAATATAAGTTTTAGAATAAAAACAAGTATCAACATTGTTAAGCTTTTATAACAATTTGAAAGAAGTTGTGATTTTATAAAGAGTATTTTAAGTATATTTAATGCAAAAGCAATGCAGAATACATTTTAGAAATAAACACCTCAGAATAAAATTAAATGCCATTTCACACAGAGTAAGTCAATCTCAACAAATCTCAAAGGGAGTTTTATGGAGATTTGACAAGATGTTTCTAAAATAATGTGATAGGAAAATGCATATGGATGACCAAAACTCAAAGGAAAACAAAATATCTCTAAACTCGACCAGACACCAAAAACACATCACTACTCATGAAGGCTATTTCTCACAAATGCTAGCATGGGGGTTTGTCAATGGAACCAGAGTAGGAGGACAATCCAGCAAAAGACAAATATGCATGATTTCTGAATTTACCCAAAATAAAACCTTGGCCCAAAGGCTGTGAGAGACATTTTACATAAATGAAAAGTTAACAAGTTTATAGAAAGCATTTAACATCCTGAGGAATAGACAGAGCAAATATTTAATGAAATCTTGTCTTAATGTGCCAACAGTTTCAGACTACTAAAATAATATATTAAATTAGTTGGTATACATAATTCTGAAATGAAATAAACACACCAATTCATAAGTATAAAAAAGAAATATAGATTGGCTAAAAGAGCTTTGCTGAAAATTAATTTTGTGGTAGCTGGCATGAGCTTATTCAATGTTAAGATAATATTTTTACTAATTCTTTGAAAATCCATACAATGTTTTAAATCATATTCATTCACTCTTGTTATCATACTTTACATATCAAACAACCTCAGAGTGAAGGAATTTATAAATATTCCAATGACTTTGGGTAGATGGGGCTCAACTGGAGAGATACAGATTCGATTCAGGGCTATGATGTTAGTGCTGACGTCATCTGATGAGTGCACCAGGCCGGATGCCATGATCACTGATCCAGATGCTGGTATATGATGTTATTAGTAATGAAGACAGCACCCTGAGCTATCCAAATGGAGTAATCATTATAGTATTATTCGTTTAGACCCTTGTCTAGGACTGAATACTTGGGATTGGACAAACTATGCAAGAGCAGGCCCTGGAGAAAAATGATTTTCTCTTTCTTGTTAGCCATTGTCTAGGGATGGAACCTTGTGGAATCTCCACCATTCACATTTGCTTTCCAACTGGTGATGCCATCATGTGGATACTGTTCAGGCAAGCATATTGTTGAGATTTGTGGGTAAAGCAGGATGTACATACATGTATAGGTATATCCATCCATCCATATGTATGTGTATATGCTAACAAACTAAAGGTGAGGTCATGAGTGGTGTAGACACAATGTTCACCTATGACATTCTCATATATACATACATACACACATATAATTTTCTTTGTGGGGGGGGGAGAAGAGAGAAGTCAAATGTTAGACTTCTCCTAAGGGGATGTCTGGTGTTCCAAGATACCTATACAGAACCACAAATATATTTGTGGACTCAACCTTGGGAATTTAGAACATTTTCTCATGACTATTACCAACCAAGTTACAAAGTGGAAACCCAATCCAGGGGGCTTTTTGGCAGAGACTGATCTAGAATCCCATTCGTGGAGAATGAGAAAAGTAATAGATGATGAGCATTTTGAAGACAAGCTGACATATTATCCACTTACAGTCTGTGAGCTCAACCCCAGGCTCTTGATAAACATACTCTGTAGTATTTATTCTGACAGGCAGCTGATTATGTCAAGTCTGTCTCTAACCACACTATCAAAGGCTGGCCCTGCACAATATCCAGGTCAGAGAACAACCATGGGAAAGTCAAAACCAAACAAACTTCTCTTTCTAATCATATACATTCACATGTTAATTATATGGGGATGATTAAAATATGATCAAAGACACGATTCTTAAAGTCACTGTTTCATTTTCTTTTTCTTCCCTTCCTCTCTCCCTCCCCTCCTGTCCACCCTCCTCCTTCCTTCTCACCCTCCTCCCTCTTTTTTCACTCTGATCATTTTTTCTTACGTTTATTAGGATGCATTTTAATATCTGTGGGTGAAAGTTGATAAAGAAATATTGACAGACTTGCCTGACCTTTTATTAACTTCTTTCTTTGTCCACAGGATTCTATGAAAACATGAACAATTTTCTCTGTGGCACATTTTCCTTCCTGATTCCCAGCTTGTGGTGAGACTGTGGTGGACATGCATGGGCTCAGCTGGATTAGTTTTTAAATAATATATCAAAGGAACTTAAATATTTAAACATGATTTTTTTAAGCCTATTGTCTTTCCGAAATAATTTTATTTTATTCTGCTAGAATTATGCCCCCCCACCTTACCTATATTTTATGGTAGAAGACTGAGACGGCACTAAAATAGGAATTTTTAATAACAAATAATGGAATGCAAGTAAGTATTCTAAGCAATAACACACGGTGACACACCCACTTCAAACAGAAAATTTAAAATGGTTTCTGGTAAATAACAAAAAACATTTGAGATGCTATTTATACACTCATGAAATAGTCCATTGTTTTCCGTGGAGTGATACATAATGGCTTTTAAAAATAGTATCGAGTCTATTTCATTCTTTTCATCTTCCTTCATTTATACCTCTAAGTTCTACCTCTTAGTTAGAGGTAATTCCTATTACTCAGTATTTGTTCTCATCTAGTGTAAAGCAACTCACTTTCATGATATCAAATACCAAGTCTCTAAAAGGTTTTGAAAACCCAGTCTTCACTCTGCTCTCCTGGCCTTCAGACTTTGTCTATGTTCCTGCAACTTTTCTTACAAAAAAAAATCCATCTCCCTGGACAACTTGTGCCAAACCAAAGCTATCATCTTTCCATCACAGCTGGCATTTCTTTGTTCTTTTCACATTTCTCTTGATAATAATCTATTTTCCCCCATTTCTCAGGAAGGATGATCTGTAATAGTTTTTGGCTCACCCACTCTTGCTCGTCTCTTTAATATCTGCATCTAAGTCACAAAGAGTGTTTGCCTCAAACTCTCAGCCATTCCTTGTCTTTTTCTTAAAAATAGAATTTTTTCTTTGTAGTATCAGGTGTTTCAAAGTCCAAATCATGAAAATTTTAAAATAAAACAGTAATTTACTTTTCCTTGCCTAAGATGCGTTACAACTGCTCATGTCTTGGAATTCCTTCCCTAAGTTCCATGGGGGATATGAGCCAATTAGTATTCTAAAATTGTTTTTCATTCTTTAACAGTGACTCAAAAGGAGTATTCCTTCCTATGTATGTACTGATGTGCGAGGAACTTAAAAGATGTGTGGAAAACTAGTCAACTTATTCATTTTCTACATTTATTAAGAGTGTTATTATCCAAATATTTAGCTGTTTTAAGTAAAGGGTAATTAATGCAAAATTTAAAAAAGTAAAGGGCTATAGCAATGAAAGTAATTTTCCATTATTAGTATTAATATTATTTCATTATGTGTAAAAGCTTTTTACCTACATGGACGTCTCTGCACCAAGTGCATGACTGGTGTATGGAGGTCAGAAGAAGGTACTGGGTCCCCAGAACTGAAGTTACAAATAATTGTGAGCTACCATTTGGGTACTGGACATCAAAGCAGGGTCTTCCACAAGACCTGTCTGTACTCTTAATCTCTGAGCTGTCTCTCCAGCCCCACAAGGAATGTTTTATCTCAAGTTTGATGATTGGTTGAGCTGCATTCCCATGACTACTCCTATATTTACAAATGTATCCCATCATGTCTCACAGGAAAGGTCTCGACATCACCTTTCTCTACATCTACTCTAGTCCCTCCCTAATGCCCCGAGATTGACATTTATCAGAACTCCTTCTTTTGAGCCATCTAGCTTGCTAAGGGTGTCAACTTTGTGTATCTTCACTACATGAAGAGAAAAAAAGGTAACTTTTACAGATAATGGATCTATTGGCTCGACTTTGACAAATATATCATGATGTATTTAGAGGAAATCATCATTTTGCACTTGAACCTATGTACTTGTTAACTATAGTGTAAAATTTTATGACTGATAATATAAAGAAAGAATTCGAGTCAATTGCCATTGGTGTTTGGCTGGTAAGTATCGAATCACGAGCCCTGAAAAAAATAAAAGACTGAATAGAGTATGCTTTATCATTATGTTTGGAGATTTTAGAAATAATATTTATCCTATTCTCATCAACAAAGGAAATAAACTAAGCCAGGCTTGTGACATTTGTAATCCTAGCACTTAGAAGGCTGAGGCAGGAGGATTGTTGAATCCAAGGCGAGAATGACCTACATAGTAAACATAAGATCCACCAGGGATATAAAACTCTATGTCCCACCTCAGAAATCAATAACTCCCAAAGCAAAAAGAAACTATACAAAATATGCATGTGTTCATGCAACAATATGCTAACATTTTTCCCAATTATATTTTACAATACCAGTTCTATAAAACTTGAAACAGATTAGGACTGGGAGATGTCTAACTCAGTAAATTGCTGGCTGTATGAGCATGAGGACCTGAGTTTGGAGTCCTAGCACCCACATGAACAGCTTGGCTCAGCTGGGGTTTGGAAGGGGTTGCAGAGCCAGGTCATTCTACGAGATTTGCTGGCCAGCCAGTCTAGCTGACCAGCGAGCTTCAGGTTCATTCACAGACCATGCTCAGAAATATGGTGTCAGGACATAATTAAACTACTTCAAACATCATCCCACACTGTACTCACACAGCAACAAACCAAAAACAAACAACCCCAAATCACAAAGCTCCTGTACTAAACATTTCATTGAAAAGTAAACTACAACTATAATAAAACTGAAAAGCACATTAGCACCATGTCACATTTTATATCAGAACTCTTTGCAAAAAATAAAGATAATTCTAGAGGAAATTGTATAGCTCTGTGTATTTTTTAGACCTTATACAATCATTAAGTTTAAATAAGGTTGTAAATAAGCCCATTAAATCTTATGAATCTAGAAGGGAGATTTAGAAAGAAACAACTACAATTAGTATAAGCAGCAGAAGAAATCAGAGTATATGTGATATGTTCAATAATTAAATTTTTAAAAAGATACACATTAAGCATCACCAATTAAAATTAAGAGTATAATGTTATCATCATAAGCAGGAAGGAAGCTATGATAGTAATTGGACAGCAAAAATGTATTTGTAATATATATATATATATATATATATATATGTGTGTGTGTGTGTGTGTGTGTGTATCACATATTATATATATGCTAAATACTGAGTGTTACACTTGTTTCTGGGGTAACAAGACTGCAGTAGACTGTATCTCATAATCTAAGTACTCAAACAAGCCATAAAGACTTTAATATCATTGTTTTGAAATCCCATGAAATGACTGTGGAGACAGAGAAATAGAAAAATAATAGAAGCTGCAAAGCCTTTCATTAAAAAGAAGAAAGTTCTACTCTTGACTTTGAGGGAAACCTCTCATATGAAGGGCAAATCAATGCAACATCAATCAAGCTCACACCTGATCATGGATCAGTTGCTGGGGCAGCAGAGTGCAAGATGTCCAGAAGCCTCACCACTGGCAGGTGTGAACAACACCGCTGGCTCGTTTGCAGATGCCCTCATAGATCATGTGGGTAGTGTATATCAAAAGTCAAAAGCAAGAGAGTATCAGTGCTTAAAGAGTCCCTCCTTTGACTTTAAGAGGGACATGCATAGATTGCCATGGGAAGGGAAATAGATAAGATCTCCTAGGTAAACTAGGAAGGGGATGGGGGATGAGAACATGAGGGAACAGGGTGGTCACATAGGGGGAAGGACAGAGAGGGGGAGCAATCAAAGAGTTATCTTGATAGAGGGAGCCATTATGGGGGTTAGGGAGAAACCTGGTACTAGGGAAACTCCCAAGAATGCACAAGGATGTCTCCAGCTAAGACTCCTAGCATTAGTGGAAAGGGTGCCTGAACTGGCCTTCCCCTGTAATCAGACTGCTGGCTACCCTAAGTGTCATACTAGAGCCCTTCATCCAGTACCTGATGGAAGCAGAGGCAGAGACCCACAGCTAGGCACTAGGCCAAGCTCCTGAAGTCCAGTCAAAGAGAGATAGAGGAGGGATTGTATGAGTGGTGGGGGCAGGGAGGGAGGGTGTCAAGATCATGATGGAGAAACCCCACAGAGATAGTTGAACCAAGAGAGTAAGAGCTCATGGGCTCTGGACTGATGGCTGGGGAACCTGCATGGGACCAAAGAAGGACCTCTGAATGTTGGCAATTGTTGTGTGGCTTGGTCTGTTTGTGGGGCCCCTGGCAGTAGGACCAGTATTTATCCCTGGTTCATTAACTGGCTTTTTGGAGCACATTCTTTATGGTGGAATACCTTGCTTGGTCTTGACGCAGGGGGAAAGGGCTTAGTTCTGCCTCAACTTGATGTTCCAGAATTTGTTGACTCCCAATGGGAGACCTTACTCTCTTTGAGCAGTGGATAGCGGGCAGTAGCGTAGGGGTGGGGGGTCGGAGGAGGGGAGGGAGAACTATGGTTGGTATGTAAAATTTAAAAAAAATTTAAAAATGAGTCCCTCCTTTTCCTGAACAATTAGGCATTTTAAGGGAGTTGAGCGATTAGTGACCACCATGAGCTCTGTGGGATTTTGGGTAAAGGAGGAGTAGGACACATAAGACTATTAGGATGAGGAAAGGAAGCCAAGTCACAAGCTTGGAGTGTAGATGGGCCTCCAGTGGTACAGCCAGGATGGAGACCCTTGCATGGTGGCTTCTCTGGCTTAAGCCTAAACAAAATGGCCAAAGCAGTTTTCTCACATTTGTGACACATAATAATTTTCTTAGGGCAAAACAATAATTTTAGAAACAGGACTTTGAAAGCAATGTTATGAAGAATTAAGGGTGTATGTGCTTCACACCTTAAAGCCAAAAAATATTTTCTCAAAACCTTTTAAGTGTCATGGTACTGACTTTTAAGACAACATTTGGGGAAATGCATGAATATAAAACAATATGTGATTGGTGAAAAATTGTGGCACATTCACTGGTATCAAACTATATAAATTCATTAAGATTGATCTTAAAAATATAGCATAGAAAAAAAGTGCAATGCAAAACTTACTGTACTCAGGCAACCATACTGCTCTGTATTGATAGTTGAAAACACAAAAGCTTGCACACAAATGTTTATTGCAACAGCTTTATTAATAATTGCCCAG